CAGCTTTGTTGACTCTTTTGGCCCTGCCATACACCAGCCCAGCAAAGCCCAGCCCAGCCCAGCCCAGCCCAGCCCAGCCCAGCCCAGCCCAGCCCAGCCCAGCCCAGCCCAGCCCAGCCCACCAGCCCAGCCCAGCCCACTCCAGGCCAACCCCGCCCAAACATTCATTGCCAGCCCCAAGCCCAGCCCAGCCCAGCCCAGCCCCAACCGCCAAACATTCACCACGCGGTTGCCCGCCAATCGCTTTGTGGTAGAAGCTCGCCACATAGGGATACCCAGAGGCGCGCGAAACGTGATGTTCCAAGAGCGTTCAATTGGCATTTCCTTCGGCCCAGAGATGTCGAACTCGCGGGCATCATCATTTTTCGTCTTGCTACGCCGTTCGGCTGCGGTGGGTCGCGCGGAGAACTTGTGGCTTGGAGTGCGGCAGCCAAGGCCCACCAAGGGCTATGGTCCAGTAGACCGACAGGTCGATGGTGGCCACCGCCGCAGCGATGGCACTGTCCGTCTGCGCCGACGTGTAGTAGGCAGCCAGGGCCGCAGCGATGGCTGCATCTCGCTGGACGATCGTCCCGTAGGGCACCAGCGCGTTCGCGATGGCCTGGGTCATCTCCGCCGTGGTGCTGTAGCCGACCAGCTGGTCGTCCGTGTAGGTGTTGGCCTGCGCCAGGAAGGCCACGAGGTTCGCCGTGGCCTCCGGCTTCGTGAAGTGATTCGTAGCCAGGACTCGCTGGCCTTCGGGAGCAGCAGAGCATCGGTTTGGGCGGTGCTGTAGGCGTCGCAGCTGAGCTGCAGTGTCCAGTTGTCGTTGACCAGGCCCATGGGGGCGACGGCGTGAAAGTTTCTGATTTGGTTGGTGCCGACTAAAAGATCCCAGGTGATCTAGCCCTCGTTGACCAGGTTGGTTGCGCCGCCGAGGGTGGCGATTTCGGCCAGGAGCCCGTCGATGGCGGACTGGAGGGACAGCTGCAGGGCCGTCAGCTCCGCGCCGGTGGCGTAGGGCCCGGCGTTCTGCAGCGCGAGGATGGAAGCGTCGTGGCCGTCCAGCTGGGAGTCCTGTAGGGCCTGCCCGGCGTCGTAGGCGCCCTGGGTAACGTAGCCCAGCAACGCCGTGGTGAGATCCCCGGCCGTTTGGTAGCCCGCAGCCTGCAGTGCTGCAAGCAGTGCCTCCGCCGCGTCGAGCCGCCCGTCCCTCAGGGCCAGCGCGGCGTCGAGGGCCGTCTGCTCGACGAACAGCAGCAGTGCGGTGGTGATGAGCTGACTCACGTCGGCGGGCGTGGTCCTGAGAGCTACTGCGGCGGTGAGGTCGCTGGTGCTGGCCATGGGGAGCAGGGCCGTTGCGATGGCCTGACTGACGTCGGCCGCTGTTTGCCGGGCGGCGACGCCAGCTGGTCCACGACCGACCTGAGTCATAGGTTGCCGCCACTTGGGCGAGCGTTGCATTGTTGGCGCTGGTGACAGCGCTGTTCATCGCCGCTGTGGTCGGGTGGCACCACCGCCCCAGTGCGAACTGC